TGGCCCATGTGGGGATCGAACCGGCAACTTTTGTGTTATGAGACTGTGCTCTAACCAACTGAGCTAACCGGCCGCCCCTGTCCTCTCTTTTAATGGGCCATTTCATCAATGCACATAGTGGCTCTTGGTGTGCCCAGAAGCCCTGCTAGTCACCCATTCTCATGTCTTGCTTTTCAGATGGGTTACACTCCCCTCCATGTGGCCAGTCATTATGGAAATATCAAGCTGGTGAAGTTTCTGCTACAGCACCAGGCAGACGTCAATGCCAAGACTAAGGTACAGGGATGTCTAAGACCTGACTCCTATACTGACACTTCTTAAATGCCAAATTAGGAAGCAGTCAGAGTGTCTCTGGGCATACCTGGGGCTCTGCCACAATTTTAAGCTTTGACCCTGGAGGAGGAAATGGGGAAAATGCATTTTTTTATGTTGATGTAGAAGATGGATAGGCCCTGTAGCATGTGGGCAGTTATTTATCTTGGAGCTAGCTAATCCTGCCAAAATGTCTACCTCACTTTATAGCTAGGGTACAGCCCCTTGCACCAGGCAGCACAACAAGGACATACAGACATTGTGACACTGCTTCTCAAAAATGGTGCTTCCCCAAATGAAGTCAGCTCGGTGAGTACCCCCCCATTTCCTGATTTCGGAAAACTGTTCTTAGGGGCAGCCCTGTGCGATATCCCATAACTGCAGAGGCTCAGGTGACCCTTACTGCATGTCTGGGGCCTGGACGGGATGCAGTACCATAAAGTCGCAGCTGCCTGGTCCCCACAACCCATAACATGGGGTGTTACGATTCATTCCTCTTGCTGGTGAACTGAAGGCTATCCTTTTAAGCACCATTTACCTCCCCCTTTTATTTTTGTTTAGTTTTGTTTTATTTTGTTTAAATATTGTTGAAACCATTTCTAAAATATGTGAAGCTGCTTTTAGTACGGTACAAGTGAACAAAAAACCCAATGTCTTTGGTGGTTCATGATGTTTCAGGGCCTCAGGGTTGTCTTTAGCAGCATCTGTGATCATGGAGAATGAACTTCCTTATCTGATGATGTGCAGGTTTTACTAGATTATCTCCGTGGCTACTTCCAGCTCAGAAAGTGTGCGGGTCTTTGGTTGTAGATATAGTTCCTAAAATTATAANTGACTCAAGAATCTTCAAAAAAGGTCAATATTAAAATTCATCATACATTTTCTTTCCCAAATATAGGCCAGTGTTACATTCAGGAATGTATTAAGTAATTTGGTACTAAATACTCTTTTTCTCTGGGGAAGATATTTTTTTAAATGCCACCCTATACATTAAACTAGGAATCCTAAATCCAGAAACTATTGGCATATGAGTCTGAAACCTTCCAAGGTTGTCCACAACATTTTGGGAAAACAGGCAGGTGAGCATTTTTCTAGGTGAAGTCTTCAACGTTTTCATCAGTTTTTCAAAGGAATGCATGACCCAGGAAAGACTAAGAATCACTTCTTTTTAAAAATAGTTTTATTGAAATATAATTCATGTATCATAAATTTCACCCTTTTGAATTGTACTGTTCACTGGCTTTTGTACTATTCCGTGGCAATCATCACCACTATCTAATCTCAGAACATTTTCTTCACCCCAAAAGGAAACCTCATACCCATTAGCAGTCACTTCCCATTTTCCCCGAGCTCCCTAGCCCCTGGCAACCACAAATCTGCTTCCTGTCACTGTGAATTTGCCTATTCTAGACATTTCAAATAAATGGAATCATACAATATGAAGAGCCACTTCTTTAAATGGTAAATGAACATGATACAGTTTTAGAAAGGCGAGCATTTTAAGAGTAATTTAAGATTTCTTAAAAACCTGTAGATCCATTGGCTCTTTTTGTACAGATTTGGACAGGTGACCCCCCCACCCCCCAGGAGAGAAGTGCTATGGTAGGACCACGACATTGGATGTGATTCTTGGTTTTTTCCTTGTGCCATTTAAAGTGGGGTCTGTAAGGAACCTTAAGAATGCTAGCGATTCCCTGGAGACATCGTCACTCATCTGCTCACAGCCCTCATGAGGCGGATTGCCGTGTTATCCCAAGAATCAGGCAAGGCACCCAGAGACTTGGGGTGACCTAGGGACTGCTCAGTGGTGGCCTCTTCGCACTTCAGTCAACCTCGCAGGCCTGCGGGAGATGCCCTGCTGGCTCAGGCTCCAGCTGGGGAGGGGTACTGCTCGTGGGCCTCCGGTCAGCCTGGGGGCAAGCGCAGAAGCCCGAGGAGGGCAGGTCGTGTCCCTGAAGACAGGACAGGCCCTGCGCACTGCCTCTGACTGTAGAGGAATTGCAGCTCTGTTCGTCCCACAGTTAGTAAAGCGGCTTGAGGCCAGGTATAGAGAAGAGAAGACTTTTCTGACGTTTTTGTGGGAGTGTGTACATATCAAACAACATCCCGGGTGCACGTCTATCCTCATGAGAAAACTGAGAAGAACTCCAAGAATACGGTGTTTTTAGACCCAGGGAGATTCTCCATCCTTTTTATAGTGCAGCACTGTTGCGATCTAATCACACACTACATTTCAATGGTACATCATGCTTTTCAATGAATTTTCATCTGTGTTTTCTCAAGCGATACCCACTTTGCCCTTGAAATAAGTCAGTGATAATCCCTATTTTCTAGATAAGGAAACCAAGGCTCTGAAGCTCATCGTGAATCTTGGAGATAGGGAATGTTACAATTGGAAAGCACCATAAAGTTCATGTAGTTCAGAGGTCACATGGCCTGCGGGCCAAATCCGACCCACCACTTGTTTGCGCAGATGAAGTTTTATTGCAACGCAGCCATGCCCCATTTGTTTATGCATTGGCCATAGCTGCTTTCTCACTATAACCCGCCGAGCTGGGCAAGTTGCAACAGACATCAGCCTAAAATATTGACTGTCTGGCCCTTAACAGAAAATGTTACCGACCTGTGATTTAGTTTAACCACCTCATTTTTTTTTTTAGATAAGGATATGGAGGTCCGGGCCTGGAAGAGCTTTGTCCAAGGTCAAATAGCTGGTTGGTGGCTGCAGAGCCAGGCTTGGCTCCCAGATGTCAGGCTCTTGCACTGTGGCCCGGATTGTTTTACTGGCTACAAGATGATGAACTTCTTTTTCTTTCCAGAGTGGACTCACTCCTCTCCATCTGGTAGCACAAGAAGGCCACGTTCCAGTGGCAGACGTGCTGATCAAACACGGTGTCACAGTGGATGCCACCACCCGGGTAAGGCAGGCAGCAGCGCTTCTGTCCTCATGGGCTTCCCCACGCTCCCTCCCTGTGTGCGCCCCTCGTCCTGCCCAGTGCCTGCCTCCCTCATGCTGCAGCATTGGCTCCTCTATGGGGCTTTGACACCCCCAGGACCCACTGGCACATTGTTCTCTGCCACTTCCTAGCGATGGCAGGAGAGTTTTAAAGACATCAATCCTGATTACCTCACTTTCCAGTGGGGAATTTTGAAGTTTGCTGGACCTTTGGGCCTCTATAGCGAGAAACGGAGAGGAATGTTTCATCATGATTCCAAGCGCTGCCTTACATGAGCAGGGTGTCAAGATGTCAGGCTTCCCGGAATTCACTCGAAAATTCAGGCCCTTTTATTCCAACACTTAGTTAAATTCAGTTCTGCTTTCTTTGAACCTCTCCGGTGTGCAAGGAGCTCCATGAGGTGGCCGAGGAGAACCTAGGGCACAGCACGGGCAGTGGAATCTGCTCGAGGCATTTGCGAGGAGGTGATTGTCAGAGGTAGAAGGGACAGCCCAGTGTGCTATCCGGTGTGAGAGAGGCGCTGGAGAACCAAATGGAGCACCAAAGGAGAGGGGTGTTTTCGTTTGGTAGGAGAAGGAGTGTCATTTCATTCCTTTTTACCATATGGCAACTGCATTGAAAGGAAGGGACAAAGTGACATCCCCTCTAACCCCACCCCCTCCAGGAACACCCATCAACAACATGATGTTGAAGTCTCTGAGAAAGATCTAGAAGCTGTATTTTATCCCCAACTGCCTGCAGCTTCAACAGGAATCTCCTTGAAAACCAGGAATGTCCTGGATCTTTGAGGCTTCTTTTTTTGGACCCCTGTTTAGTCTTTTGGGGTCCTGCCCTAAGAGACCCTATACTGTGGGTTAGAAACTGTGGGTCCCAAAGCCATATCATTACTTGAGATTCAGCCTGCAGGGTTTGGAATTCGGCACCAGCTCCCCTGGGACACTTACGACCAAATGGCTGAGAGGGCCTTGACTGGCCCTCTTGACTGGAGGGAGCACCAGAATGTTCAACAAGACAGATTCCTTGAAAATCATCTCCTTTACAGCCAAAAAGCAAATGAATAAGTACCCAAAGCCCACTCATTTCAAGCAATGATCAGTTCCCATAAATTCCATTACATTACAACTCAGCAACCCAGACAGCCTTTGGGGGCGTTGTACAACGGGCTTTCACCTTTATAGTAAAAATGCTCTTGTCAGTGTCGGCAGAGATCTCCATGCCACCATCTGCCCTCACCTGAA